CTTAGCCACACTCTTATCACAAAACTTTCCCTCCTCATACTTTCACCCTCACTGTTCCCTTTGCCTTAGACAGTTTTTATGTGACTGGATCCTTCCTCCATATCTCAGAATAAATGCCACCTTTTCAGAATGTGTTCCTGCACTGTTAACCAGGTACCCATCTATCACATAGAATATTGCTCATTCTTTTTAGAAAAAAATCACATTTGGTCATTTTATTTATGAATTGGTTTACTTGTTTACTGCATGTCAAGCCACTAGAACAAAGCTCTTTAATGGCTGGGCCCTGTCAATCTGGTTTACTGACAGACCCTAGTACCTATTGCAGTTTCTGATGCAAAGTAGGCAACCAATATACATATGCTTAATGAATGATTATTTTAGTTTTTTTCTGCTCTTTATCCAGTTATTTAAAATGATTACATACTTCGCCTCCAAATTCTGAAGTTCCTTCTTTAATTTAGTTATTGTTTTCTTCTCCCATTTTATCTTGGTCATTTTATTTTACTTAATTTGGTTTTTTAACAGTGGATAAAACTAGTTGAATTACAATATCAACATTTATGATATTTTTTTAGCATTTTCAACTTTTTTCTTATACATAATTTTATCTATTTCTAAACTCTGTTATTTTTAAAATATTATTTTCCATTTTGTTAGTATATTATTACCATTTGTATAAATAAATGCTTATTTATTAGTCTCATAAAATAGTTTTCATCCCCTCAAAGAAACTACGTTATAGCCTAGTTTCGAATGAGGTTCTAAACCCCATAGGAGAAACATGGGGTTTAGAACCTCATGGGGTTTAGAACATTCGTCTGGTTATGGACATTTTTTGGAAGTATTCACAGCACACAGAGAGAAGACAGGGGAAAAAATCCAAATTGTTTTAAACATGCCTGAAACGAATGGAGGCACAATAGTTGGATAATAATCAAAGTATTTGAATTCTAATATATCAGTCTGTTCTAAGAGCTAACTTGAGCAAATTGATTTTCTTTGTTGCCAAGTTTGGGAGAGAAGAGAATACTCCCTGAGTGGAGATTATTTTCACCTCTGCTTCCTGATCATGAAAACTAAGGGAAAACTGGCCAAGGCAGTACTGTCCCCTCTAGATTTCCAGAAATGAGACCCTCATGTCCTGAAAATGGAATGCTTACTTCTTTTTCAGTCATTTGGTCTCATGCCACTTTCATTAAAGACTCCCTGAGAATAGCTGCAGAGCAATACATTCCAGGGAAACATTTTAACGGCTGACTTTGGTAAGATCCAGCCCTTCACAAAAGAGCCTTGTACAATTAAAAAAACAATGTAAGAGGTCTTAACTCTTCTAGGTACTCAGTTTTGGAGAAACAAGCTCTTTTTAATTGGATATGCTAGAAGTCCTGCAGAACAAAGTGTGTAAAAGATGAAATCCAGATTTTAGCTCTAAGTCACCTGGCTTGCTAACTGTATTAACAGAACTTCCAAAGATCTGTCTCCTTCCTGATGATTCAAACATTTACTCCTCTGGGAACTCTCTTCCAACTGAAAATATGGTACATTTGATGCTTCTGCTACTTACATTAAAACATTCCCAAAGCCCCTTCCAATAGCACAGATTCAAGGTTGATTTCCCTCGGAAGCTAATTCTACTGTCACCAGCCATTAGGACTATCTAGTCCCCTTCATACCAAGTCCCACCCCTCTGCATAGGAATTGGCTCAGAAAACCTACATATTTTCCCACCACATAGAACTGTTTAGCTATACAGTACCTTAGCCAGGATTAGCTAGGTCTGTTAGCTGTCATGTCTTTAGCAAATATAGTGCAGCAAAAGCCTGAACTCAAAGTTCCACCAAATGAAAGCACATGCTTCTTTTATAATCACATGATTCTGCATTCTAGAACACCCCCTACAATGACGAAAATTCTTAGAATGTGGAGGGACAGGGAACAAGGATTGTGACCTCATAAATTTCTATTCATCTAAATTCCAGAAATGATTTCAGCATTATCTGGCTTGAAAAATAGGATATTGCCCTAACTAGTGTGGCTCAGTAGGTTGAGCATCATACCACAAAGTGAAAGACTGCAGGTTCAATTCCCATTCAGGGCACATGGCTGGGTTGCAGACCAGGTCTCCAGTAGGGGAAGGGTGAGAGTTATGCCAAACAATTGATGTTTCTCTTGCACGTTGATGTTTCTCTCTTTCTCCTGCCTGTTCCCTCTCTCTAAAAATAAACAAGTAAAATCTTTCAAAGAAGAAAAAAATGAAAAATAGGATATTTTCTCTCAATCCTAATGTAGTTTCTTCTAGCTAATCTAGTGTGTCCAGATAAGTATGTCAACTTTGTAGAAGCAAATGGTGTATCAGACAGTTTGTTCTAATTCCATAGTTTCTTTAAATTTATATATATATACACATATATATGTATATATTACATTTATATATTATATATATATATATATATATATACCCATGCATATGCATACCTTTAAAATGCCATTAATAGATGGACATCTGTTAATACCCTTTTGTTCAGAATTGTCATTGTGGATGATTTAAATACTAGAAGTTGAAAATTATAATGGAAGTCATGGTAAAGTCTAATCCTTGGGTAATCTGAACTGGAAAGATTATATCCCATGGCTCGTGTTTCTAACTAAGGATGGCTATCCTAAATGAAGAAGAGGTGAGTACAGTGCAACTAATCTATTACTCAATGTTGTTTTATAGGGTTACCATAACAAAATACCACAAACTGAGTGGCTTCAATAGCATAAAAGTATTACTTCACCTGTTGAAGGCTAGAAGTTCGACATTAAGGTGTCAGCAGGGTTGAGAGAATTTGATCTGGGCCTTCCCCCTAATCTCTAGTGGTTTTCTGGCAATCTTTGCTGTTCCTTGGCTTGTAAAAGCATCATCCTGATCTCTGCCTTCAACCTTGCAGGCATTCTCCCTGAGTGCATGTCTCTGTGTCCAAATTTCCCGTTTTATGAGGACATCAGTCATATTGCACAGGCCCACTCTGATGACATCACTTCAGTGAATTACATTTGGAATGACCCGATTTTCTGTTAGAGTCATTTTCTGAGGTAGTGGGGGTTAGGACTTTATCATGTGAATTTTGGGGGAAACATAATTCAATCCATAGCACTCAGTTATAGGTTTTACATGTATTCAACTAACTATTGTAAAAAGTGATAATACCAATTCACTTCCACTGGTGTATGAGTGTATGAGTGTTCTTGTTCCTCCACGTCCTGGCTAACACTTGGTATTGTCAGTCCTTAGATTTTTTTGTCCATAAGATGGAAGTAAATTTACAATTAATCTCCATTTACTTAATTATTTGGGAGGGTAAGTCCTTTTCATATTTATTGAGTGCTCCTGTTTCCATTTTTGTCAATTGCCTGTTAGTTTCTTTTGCCTTTTTTCTATCATTTTCACTAAAAACAAATGTCCTGAGTGCCTGTTATGCACCATGTACTATTTTAGGCACTGGAGATATGGTAGGACATAATTTCCATTCACATATGGCTTATATCTGGAAAGAATTATACAAAAAAAACCCAACATGAGCTAATTGGCATATTAGAAGATAATAAGGGCTGTGAAGAAAACTGAAGCAGAGAAGAGGGTAAAGAGTGCCATTGTGGTGACTTGCAATTTGAAATCTTATGACCAAGGTGGGCTACATTAAGCAGGCAATCTTTGCAGAAATTCTTGTATGACATGAGAGAGCCAGCCATGTGTGCCCAGCTGGTGGAAGGGTTTTTCCATAAAAGGGTTAGAGGAAAACAGCTATCTGAGCTGGGGAAGGGGACAGGAGATTAGGTCTGAGAAGAAAGGGCAGTCTTGTGAACAATCATGGGATAATTTTGAGCGAAGCACTTGCTAAAAAATTAGTCCAGCTATTAGGTTGAGATAATAATTAAAAATTAATAATAATCATGTGTGTGGTGCTTTGTTCCCTGCACTGAGCCAGGCACTTTACATGTTAACTCACTTAAGATATTCCAATTAGGAAGGAAGGAATGGAAGCAGGGAGGCCTGTTCTGGTTATTCTTTTTTTTTTTTCTGTTTTGTAGAATTTCCTTATATATTCTAGGTACCACTTACCTTTGGTGATTGATTATATGTGCTTTCAAATACCTTCTTCCATTTTGTGGGTTGTTTTACTATTTAAATTATGAATGTTGCTATTTAGAATATATATTTCTTTGTACATGCGTTCTCTCTTGTTCAGGTTTTCCCTCATTAACTTTTTTAGTGAATGCCTTCTTTAACTCCAGTCACCCACAATTTCTGGTTAGTCGTTTCTTCTTCTCTGCTACCGTTACACTTGATAGAAACCTTTCGGAAAACTAAAATTGCCTATTAAATCATGTCTTCATCCTTGTTCTGAGAATTCCAGGATGTGATACCCTGTCTTACAAATGACGTCCCAGTCATTTGTGACTAACGTGCTCAATGTTTGTGTAGGCAGGTGGGGAAAAGTGGTCCGATATCACTTCGACTGGGAAAATGCGAAAATGGATGAAATTCAGTGAGCGAAACGGAAAAGAAAGGTGTCGCGATGGGAAATGCAATTGCATACTGATAATGCTTTGGCTCAATATACCGAGAATACGAACCTTTGCAGTTAAGAGCTCACCTAGACAACAGCTCCACCACCACTTTCATTGTACTGCGACTACACTGTGTAAAGCACATCAAGGAGTTCGCCACAGTTTAAACAAAGTGCAGGTTCCTAGAACGACTACGGCTAAGATTTGGGCAACTTGGAGTATTTCCGTCAAACTGTGGACAACCTGTCAGCGGTGGAAGGTATAGGAACGTAACAGAAGATACCTAACACGCAACCCCCTCCCCCAGTGTCCGGCTAGACACTGGTGTACTTATTGCGCGTGCGTCAATTTTCCCTTTTTTGGAATGGGCGGGGCAAAGGCCGGCAGTGCGGCGATCCTGAGGGGGAGGAGCCAAGCTGTTTCCAAGGTGATGTAGTGGCGGCCTCGGTGGTGGATTGAGCGAGTCTGAGCGAGGTTCCCAGAGGGCTTCGCGTACTCAGCTCTTCGGCGTTGTCATGGCGGGCTTGCTGAAGAAGGTGAGGGTAATGGAGGTCATCGGAATTTAGACTGTGGGGTAGAGACAGCCCGATAGCCTCTCGTCCCGCGGGTGGTGGCTAGAACCAGCGCGGCTTGGCGGTGCTTTGGGCGCTCGTTCTTTTCTGCTCTCAGCGGTAGAAAAAAGCTCCGAGCTAGCGGCATTGAAAGACCGGGAACTGGTTTCTGGCCACTGTTACCTGGGGTTTTGCTTTTTCTTTGCATGGTGGACGCGCCGAATTGTAAACAGCGTGATCGTTTTTGTTTTTGAACAGACTACTGGCCTTGTGGGGTTGGCGGTATGTGAGAGTCCGCACGAGGTAAGTGCCTCCTTTCTTCATTCCAGAGTTTCCAAGGAAGAATAGAACCCCGCGACCTTGTTCGTCGACAGGTCAAAGGAATACGGACATTTCTAGCCCAGAATTATCCCTAATTGTGAGCTCTAGACAAGGGTAGTCTACTTTGTTGATCCGGTGCCACATTTATTTTTCTTTTACTGCAGCCCCTTTTTTTGTTGACCTTTTCTGTGGCAGTTCTCGTGGCTTCACTGGTACTTCTGTTAGTGTCCCAACACTGTATTTTAACTTATCTCCCAAATCCGTATCTTAATTTTTCACCTTTTCACCTGCCTCGTCGCTTTTGCCTAGGGGCCCGAGATTCCACTTTGCCTTACCAAAGGTATCGCTCTAGCATTTGCCTTTTCTATCATCACTTTTCCTTTATAGTAGGTCTTTCCCTTCAGTATTGACGTGCTTCCACGTTTAAAAAACAAAACAAAACCCCTCAAAACAAAAATATCTCTGTCGATCCATTTCCTCCCTCCAGTTACCACACCATTGTTTTCGTTCCGTTTACGAATAACGCGTTATCTGTACTCCACAGTTTCCATTTTTTTAGTTTTACTTCAAATTTTAAAAAAATTGAGTTACAGTTTATAGTCAGTATTATTTTGTATTAATTTCTGGTGTGCAGCATAGGGGTTAGAAAATACACTTTACAAAGTGTTCTTCGCGATATATTACCCAATACTCACCTGGCATCATACCTATGGTATTTCCTATGACTATTCTGTAACTACCCATCCGTACTTCTTAATCCCTTCACCTTTTTCACCCAGTCCCCCAGCTCCCCTCCCCTCTGGCAACCATCATAAATTTAACCAAGGAGGTAAAAGACCTGTACTGAGAAAATTGTAAGACAGTGAAGAAAAATGGAAGATGCAAGTAAATGGAAGCATATACCATTTTATGACTAGAAAAAAATAACATTGTTAAAATGTCCATGCTATCCAATTTCTCTTATTCCCCTTTGAACACACTCCAGTCAGGCTTGGCCATAGTGCTGTTTTCTTTTCAAGGTCACCATGCTCTCGGTACTGCTAAATTCAGTGGTCATCTCACATTTCTCATCTTACTTGACCCAGTAGCAGCAGTAGACACATGTGGCATCTTCTCCCTCAAGCACTTTTTATACTGTGCTTCAGGACTCTCCCTGTTTTTTACCCCTGTTCTTTTTCCCTTCTCCCCTTTTGGTTATTCTTCATATTCCCACTTCTAAGTTTTGGTGTTCTAAGACTTAGCTTTTTTACCCTTTCTCTACTTTTATTTACTCTCGTGGTATCTGGATCTAGTTTAGTGGTTTTAAGTACTACCTTGAACACTAATAACTCTTAGATTTCCATATCAAGCACTGACCTCTCCTGTTGTGAGGGTGTTGTGTATTTAATTGCTTAGTGGACATTTCACTTGGCAACTCAAGCAGGCAACTCAAACTTAACATGTCCAAAATTGGGTTCCTAATCTCCTTAAAACTTGCTCCTCTCTCAGGCTTACTCATCTCAGTGAATGGCAGTTCCATTCTTCCAACCATTTAGGTCAAAAACCTTGAAATTGTCTTTAATTTCTTTTTCTCACACACACCACATTTGGTACTTCAGTAAATCTTCTGTGTTTTCCCTTTAATATATATTTGTATTTTGACCACTCACTACCACCTGTGCTACTAACCTGTTCTCAGCCACCATCACCACTGCTAAAGATAATTGCATTTGCTTTCTAACGGTCTCTCTGTTTGTCACTGCCTCCGTTTGGTCATTTTTCAATGACAGTAGAATCAACCTGCTAAAATGTAAGTTAAGACATATTACACCTTTCCTCAAAACCCTCCGGTGGTATTCACTATGGATAAGAGTACTTACTATGGCCCTCCATCTCACTAGTCAATAGACTGTCTCTTGTTTTTTGCCTGTCTGTGTTTTGAATGTAGGTTTTCATGAAGCCAGCAATTTTTTATTCTGTTCACTGCTAGAACACTGACTGGCACACGGTGTGTGCTCAGTAAATGTTTGTTGAGCTATTGTCATGTACTCATTATGAGTTCATAATGACTTTAGATTCATTACAGTTTAGATTCAGAAACCGAAGTCATGGTTTTTCATTTCTAAATGTTTCGTGCACTGTGGATTCTATTTTTCTTTCTTTTTTTTTTTTAAATTTAATCTTCCTTGTAATTTTTTCCATTACCATTTAGTCCCCTTATACCCTCCTCCCCTAGAAGTCATCATACTGTTGTCAGCATCCATGAGTCCTATTTGCTCAATCCCTCACCTGCCTCCCCCGCCACTAGCTGTCATCCTTTTCTCCATCTATGAGTCTGTCCCCATTTTCCTTGAGAATTATAGTCTTTTTACTCCCCAGGCTGAGAATTTGGACATCATAGTAGACATTTCTCTTACTCTTGAATCTTTGTCCATTCCAGTCATGAGTCCTGTTGATCTTTTTCTCTAACACCTCTCCAGTCTCACCTCTCTCTCCTTTCCCTACTATTATTACCACAGTTAAGTCCCTTGCTCTTGTTTAGAGAATTGCAGCAACCTTGCTATTGGCCTTTCTGTTGTTCCTTCATTTAATCCTTTTTACTCACTACTGCCAGATTATTTTCTGGAAGCACAGATCTAATCATAAACTATCCCTAAATGTTTTTATTGCCCACAGAATAAAGCTCAAATGCATTAACTTGGCATGCCAAACCACTTAAAATCTTTTTCCCCAGCCTTACCTTCTAAGCATTTCCTATGTGTCCTATATTGTATTCATGTGCTGTCCTATAAAGATACAAGTCATAAATATAAGAAATGTTATTTTCTAGGGGTCATGTTTTCCAATAAGAATAAGGTAAATTTAATATATTTTAATCGAACACACCGAGAATATTATCATTTAAATATATACTTAATATAAAATTTGATATTTTGTACTTTTTCTCATACTAAGTATTCAAGGTGCAGTGTGTATTTACACTTCTACCACATCTCTGTTCTGATTAGCCACATTTCAAGTGCTCAATTACCATATTTGGCTGGTAGCTACTCCATTGGACAACACAGATCAAGGAAAACAACTACATACTGATTACTTTATGTTCCCTGTATTTTCTATCAATTCAATCCTATATATATGTAGTTTGTGTGTAAAATCGCCTTTTTCAACATCTTTAGTTGTCCAAGGTCTATCTGCATTCTGCCTTTTCTGTGACCCCCTTCTCTGATACACGCCGAAGTGACTACTTCCCCTGTGGAATAACAATGCTAACATTTAATGAAACCTAATGAGTGCCAGGTACTGTTGTAAGTTAGAAAGAGTATATTAATGAAAGAGTATATTAATAACCTCATTTTAACCCTCAGGTCTCTTAAGAGGCCTTTCTTTTGTCATACCCTATGCTAAAATTAAGAAGAAATGTGGCTAAAAAAACCCAACACAATTCAGGTTATATGTTCTTCGTGACAGGCCCCACCTTAGTATAGTAAAACACCCTCTATTATGGAATATCATATTCAAATATAAAAATAATGTCTAAATATGCAGACCACCTTTTAAGTAAAATAATTCTTACAGGTCTTTAGGGTTACTTTGTGTGTGTATGTGTGTATGCACCTATTGATTTTATACAATTAAACTAAAACATTTCAAATAAAAAATAAACAATAAGGAAAAGTTTATTTTTCCTAAATTGTAAAAGAGATATGGCATAGACATGAAGAAATTACAGCAAAAGTTAAATGCTTTTTTAAAAAAACACTTGTCTTTTTTTTTTTAACCTGTAAGACTTTTTAAAGTGTTCCATTTAACCTTTGGTGGTATTTTAAAATGGAAATTTGTACGATTTATCTTTTCAGAGGCTAAGAATATTGTACACAAAAATACTTGATGTTCTTGAGCAAATCCCTAAAAATGCAGCATATAGAAAGTACACAGAACAGATCACAAATGAGAGGCTGGATATGGTTAAAGCGGTAAGTACCTGACTTAATTTTATTTTCTTGGATTTATGGTATCCAATGAAACTTTAACAGAATTCAGTTGCACTTTTTTTTTTGCATATTCTACATTTTCTTCTTATTTGTATTCTCCTTTCTTCTAAGCTTTTCTTTCATCCTTTTTCCCTTTCATTTTTCAAAGTCCTGTTTACTGAGTGCTTTCTGTGAGCAAGAGCCTGTTAAATACTGCTGTAAAAGAATAAGATCAAGTGCATTTCCTTCTCAGATACCCTTGAAGTATATTTAACTTGTTTCTATTTTAAAAGAAAAAGAAAACTGTATTTTTATATTTTTCTTTACTTTTGCCCTTTTTCTCTCTCTTCTCACAGCAATGTCAAATGAAGAATAGTTCACTGTCATTACTTTCACTTAATAGTCCTAAAATTCCTTTTTCTGACCTGTGCTATTTCAGTTGCCTTTGAACTGATTGGTCTATGTATAGTTCCATTCCACATCATTATGTCCTATACTGCTAATAGATGATTTTTTTTCAGTATGTAAATCATGGTGTCTTTCAGCTTTAAAATTTTACTGTGGTTTCCTATCTAGTGTTTTTCAAAGACCGAGTTTATAGATTTATGCTGAGCTGGCAGTAAAAAACTCACCTAGCTATCCTTACCTACATGACTTTGATGTACAATCAGGATTAGGAACCACTGGCTTACATGACAGAGTCAGCATGGATGGGGGGCTCTCCATGTTCTGGCTCTAGGTTATCTTCCCAATTTTGCCACTTCCTATTTTGTACCTTATACTCAGCAATATATGGAACTGATGACAGTTATGTGAATTCCACGTAATTTTTGTGTTCTTTTTTTTTTCCTCTCCTCTTCCTGGAATGCCCTTCCCTTATTTATGTATCTGGCAGTTTTTACTCAGTCCTCAAGATCCATTACCTTTTCTGTGAAATCTTTTCTTACATCCCTAAGTAAAGATTGACAGCTTCCATGCTTGTAATGTACCTATCACACTTTATTGTGTTTTATTTATGTCTCCTCTGGTAGTACGCAAGCTGCTAATGAATGATGATTGCATCCATCTTGTATCCCAAGAATTTAGAATAGTACCTAGCACTTATATAAGGTCTCTCAGAAATGTTTGATTATCCAAAAGGCTAAAAACAAATTGTTTTTAATAATCCCTTACACTTCATAATAATTATATTGCTTATTTCTGTTTTGGGTTAAATTATTACAGATTTTTAACCCTCCTTAGAGCTACACAGAGTTTTAGTGAATATTATTAATGATTGCAAAGTATCTATTGACTAAGCCTAAAATGGAAATGAAAAAATTTTTTTTCAGATTAATCTAGGGAGACAGTAATAGCATTATTATAAAGCACTGGTTTGTAGCCTGTCCAAAGTTTTCATCTCAGTTCTTACACTTATTTGCTAAATTACTGTTGGCATTATCGCCCATTTCTCTTTCTCAATTTCCTTATCTATAACTTGGGGGTACTGATACCTATCTTGAACATTTATTGTTATGACCAAATGAGGTGATTTATGTGAAATGCTTAACACAGTTGCAAGCATATATTGAGCATTCAGTACATGGTACCTTGTTTAGCTTAATGGCATTATGCCATTGGTAAATAAAAGTCACATTATTGACTTACCTTCAGTAAGAGAAATTTTGAATTGTTTTTCTAACACTGACTTTTCTTGAGTTGAAAATATTTTGAACATTCTTTGGATTCATAACCTTCACCCTCCTGGGTCTCTTATAACAGTGACCAGCTTCCCTCTTTTGTTTTTGATTTGGCTTCATAGCTCAGTTAATTTCTGAATTAAACAGTCTTTCTCAAACATGTTTATCTTCTTTTTCCCCCCTTTCTCTATAACTCTTTATTTATTCCAGAAATACTGAATGTTGGTTGTATGCCACATGTTCTAGGCATGAAAGCTAGTGCTTACATGACAATGAACCAAATATCAAAATCCCTGCCTTCTCATTAATGATGGGAGACAAAAATAAATAAATAAAATAAGTAAGTGAATAAAGAAGTACATTACATAATATGTCAGAAAATAATAAATATCGTGAAGGAAAATTTAAAAAGGAAGAAGATTTTGTTCCAGGGTAATGAGGGATGTTATAATTTATATGTTTCCTATGGCTGCTGTAACAAATGAGCACAAACTTCGTTGCTTAAAACAATAGAAATTTATTCTTTTACATTTCTGGAAGCCAGAAGTCTAAAATCAGTATCAGAGGCCCAAATCAAGGTGTTGGCAGGGTTGTGTTCCTTTTGGAGGCTCTAGGGTAGAATTCATTTCTTGTCTGGGCCAGCTCTGGTGGTTTTTGGCTTGTGGCTGCATCACTCCAAACTCTGCCTCTGTGGTCACATTACTTTCTCCTCTTCTCGGTGTAGTTTACCTCTGCCTTTGTCTTATAAGGACACCTATAATCATATTTAGGGTTCACTCAGATAATCTAGGAAAATCTCCCAATCTCAGGATTCTTAATCATACCTACAAAGTCTTTGCCATCTAAGGTAACCTTCACAGGTTCCAGGGATTAGTTCAGGTACAACCCGTGGGGCAGTATTCAGTTTACCACAATACAAGTAGTCCTCCCTAAGGAGATGATATATATACAAGGGAAGACTCGGATAGAAGTGAAGGAACAACAAGCCATGCAGATATTCTGGGTCAGCCAGCAGATGCCTTGAGGCAGTAGCATACCAATTCCTGTAGAGAATATCTTTTTTTTTTCCTCCCTCTTTTTTATTTCATTTATGGGCCCAAAACCCACCCTACTTACATATATTTATATATATCTATATATAGGATATGGTTTTGGCTTTCAAAAACTCGGTCTACTGGAAAATAGGTAAATATATGTCATTGGATCTTCTAGGTACTATATTAGCATTTTTTCTTTTAAAAATAGCCATTTATTGAAGAATAATATACACAAAGAAATGTGCAGAAATCATAAGTATAGAGCTTGATGAATTTTCACAAACTTATAGCACTTGTGTTAACAGCAAATCAAAAGAGAGGACATATCCAGAATGCCAAGTCCTTGTTTCCTTCTGAGTTACTACCTCCTAAGATAACAGCTCTTCTGACCTCTGACGGTTTTGAGTGGAACCATCTGTATCTACTCTCTTCTATGTGGTTTCTTTCGTTTAATATTACATTCGAAAGAATCATCTATGCTATTGTTTATAGTTATAGTTTGCTGATTCTCATTGCTTTATAGTATTTTACTATATTCAAATACTGTAGTTCATTCTATTAAATGTGGTCATTTGGACAGTTTGTAATTTGAGGCTGATTTGTGCTGCTTGGAACATTCTTGAACATGTCATTTGGTTAACATATAATGCATTTCTGTTTGGTATATACCTAGGAGTGGAATTCTGGGTCATAGAGTAGTTATTATTTTTAATGCTGATGGTATCAGAAGGAAATATAAGTAATACTAAGAAAATAAAGTGGTATTTTAAAATCTGTATTTTAGACTGAATTAGGCATCGTATTTCTTCTCTTAATAAGCATGTAAATATATGTTTAAATTTTTTAAAATATTTTGTTTATTTGTTTTTAGAGAGAGGAAAACAGGGAGAGAAAGGGAGAGAAACAGTGATATTCGAGAGAAACACCGATTGGTTGCCTTTCTCATGCCCCCAAGTAGGACCCAGCTGTAAGCTGGGGCATGTGCCCCAACTAGGAATCAAATTGGCAACCCTGTGGTTTGTGGGATGATGCCCAACCCACTGAGCCATACCAGTCATGGCTATGTTTAATACTTTTTAGTATTAAGATAGAAAAGCAATGAAATATACAGATTGAATGGGTTTCTACCAAATACCTGGTAAAAATTAATAAGGATATGATGAAAGAAAAATTAATTATGTTTGTTGTAGCAAGTGTATTTTTTGTATATGAGTTTTTAAATTATAGGATATTAAAACATTCAGATACTGTGTTTCTTTGTTTAAATATTTTCTGTTGTTTTTTTTCCCCCTTAAATTATAGGAACCAGATGTTAAAAAATTAGAAGACCAACTTCAGGGTGGCCAAATAGAAGAGGTGATTCTTCAGGTAAAAAAACTGAATAATTAGACAGTTAGCTTCAAAAGTTCAGAGACACAGTGAATACAGGCACAAAACTGACATTCCAGAAAGAAAAGAAAACTAAATTTCTTATATCAACTCACCAAATGTAGTCTAATCACATGTAGAAAGTATTCCTAATGTGTATGTAAGTTAAATATCATTGATTATAATTTGAATTTACAAGGCTTCTGTTAGAAGTTTGGAGTTTGATATTCTTTGACTATACGGGGCATGTTCTTATTAGCCTTACCTTAGTTAAAATGAATAACAATATTACTGTTATTTCAATAATTTTATCTTTTTAGATAATTTAAGTTTTAATGGCTTGGTAAGAATGCTACAATTTTTCATTAAATTGCGGGGAATGATGCTCCCCCTTTTTTTAGTTGTGCATTTGTTTCCCCAATTATGAGTAAGGTTACACTTTAAAATGTGTTCTTATAAATTAATATTTCTATTCTATTAATTTGTTTTTAATGTATTTCTTATATATTTCTTTGAGTGTTTTTTTTAATAATCAAAGTAGTGCTAATCTTAATCTTTTGCCATATTGCCTAAACATTTTTTTTAGTGTGTTCTTTGCTTTTTGACTTAAATTAAATTTTTTTATAATAAATTTTATTTAGTTACTTTTCAAGTACATTTTTTTATCTATTTCTCTCACCCACCCCCGCCCTGTCTCCCCCCTCCCTCCAATTTCCCCTCCCCCAGTCCTCATCCCTGTGTCTTTCATACTTGTTCCTCAATTGACTTAAATTAAATATTTTGTCCCATATGTAGAGGTTTTTAGATTTTTTATTTGGTCAAATAATTCACCCTCTGTGTACCCCTATGTCTTCCTTTTATACAAATATGACATATGTTTAGTTGTATTTCATTTGATTTTTACATGTTTTTGTATTTTTCAAAAATGCATCATTTTTTCTTGCCTTTTTTCAAAGCACAAATAAAAGGAACTATTATAAATTATCGTAGATGAGGGAGTTATTTCACCAATAGATGTGATGTTCAAAAGAATTGAGAGGTGGCTCTGTTAAAAGAGGAATAGGGCGTTTAGACAGCTTTTGAGGAATGTAGACTGTTTCGGTCATTCAGAGGCCCGTTTTCTTGGTCTTGCTGTTCATTTGCCATATTGACTATGGTATTGGATACAGTGTTATGGGAACTTATTGCAAACTTCTTATTATTGTCCTCTTATTACTCCTTTTTCATTTCTACCTGGTTTCACTTTGATTATGCTTTAGTTGGTAATTTATTACAAATTGTAGACTCAGGGTTCATTAAGCATTTTTAACTCAGCCATTCAGTTCTGTACCTTTTTATGGGCAAGATAAGGGCAAAATATACAATAATGTTTTATATAACCCAACATATCTAAATTATTATTGGAACATAATCAGTATAAAAATTGAGATATTTTACATTCTTTTTTACACTAAATCTTTAAAATTTGGTGTGTGTTTTATACTTGTAGCACATCTGAATTTGAGCTAGGTACATTTCAAGTGATCACCCAGTAGTCATATTTAGATAGTGGCTACCATGATGGATGGTCCATTTCTAGAGGGAAAGTAAGAGAGGAATGAGGAAAGGATGGTGTGTTAGAAGCTAGAGATGAGGGAGGTAGTGGGCTACAAGGGCCACATGTGATAGGATCCAGCTCCCTGAAATAGGGCTGGTTTCATTTATTTTCAGTACTAGAACCCTCCCCACCCAGTACAATGCTTTGGGCATAGAAAAAGCATGAGTGTTCAAGAGACCCAGACCAGAAGGCTGGCAAATGGTCATCCTAAGGGATATTTTTATTTAGTATTGCTACTGTTTTCTCATTAGCCTTAGTAAATACCTCTGCCTCCAGATTTCCTTCAGTCTACTCTTCAACTCGTTGTTGATGCACATTTTAGATTGTTGCTGCTAAACGTAGATTGCCTATTTTGAACCACTGGCATAAATGGGACGTTGTCTTTTAATTCTAAGTTTATAATTACAGCTTTTGATGAAATCTAAGCACTTACTTTGCGTTTGAATTCCTTTTCTGATATCCTGACAAATGTTCAACAGCATTCTTCTAAGTTGGCCAGAGTTGTATGTCTCTTTGTTCAAGGAAAAATGTGAAATGATAAGATAACCTAAAATATATTTGTTAAATGTGTTATCAGTTGCGTTTGAAAGGAAAATAAATGTGTAACAGTCTGATTAAGGAAATGAATTGAATCAATAAATCATCTTTTGCAGCTATTGTAGTCCTACATTCCATAGATCACTGTTTAATAAAGGGGTCTCAGATGATTATGGACATGAAATCAGAGAGGTGGCTTGTGACTAGCACTTAAAAAAATACAATAGAAAACAGAGTGCATTGTAGTAAAGGTAATTTTTTTTGTTTGAGTTATATTTGTATATTATGGATCCCTTAGTAAAATGTTTTTTTTTTTCTTTTACTGTGGGCCATGGTAAAATAAAGTTTGAAGGCCATTGACATCAATGAGGAGACATACTTTTCATCCTCAAAGAATTTGTAATCTAACGGTGAAATAGATGATTAAGATCGAACTCACCAATTAAACAATTTAATAGCAAAATTTAACCAAACAGAAGAAATCAAAATCTTTGTTACTCATGATAATTGCATAGCTGTGACAATTAAGGTAATTCAATTAATATTCAGTATTTGGTGGTAGAACAGTTTATTAGGTATTAATACAAAATTAGTAGCTCCAATTAGTTATATTTTACTTATTAACTATGATAAATATCTATTACACAGTATAATCAAATGATTTTTTAAAAAATTTTATTAACAGGCTGAAAATGAACTAAGTCTGGCCAGAAAAATGGTACGATGGAAACCGTGGGAGCCGTTAGTGGAAGAGCCTCCTGCTGACCAGTGGAAATGGCCAATATAATCATCATCAAATGACTTGTGTGTTGAAGGGAAACTGATGTAATTAAATGTTCTGTTATGTCAAAAATATGTCCATATTATTGATATCTAATCAAGAAAACTGATGCAGAATATATTTAGGAGACTTGTTAAAACTGATGATTATGATAATAGGGACTTAAGAATTAGTTTTTGTTAAAGCATTCATTCAAATTATTTCAAAGTTTGGTATTTTATAAAGTAGAGGTTCTATAAGTTTTGAAAATTAATAGGAAAAATTTCTATGTTGCAATGCACAGGCCATATATTTGATAGGTTAAATATTTTTAGTAGTATCTCTGACACATTTGATTGTTTATTCTGACAAGATCAGGAAGAAATCTATTATTGCTTAAACAAATGTATAGGTCTTTGTTTGAAGTGAAGTAAGAGAAAAACCATTAAATTACAATTCATTTTATAGTTGAGGGAATTGATTTTTGTATTTGAAAGAAAGATTTCGTATTTACAGTGGTAATTGGGAAACTTAAACTTTTTTCAAGTTTAAGGAAGTTAGCTTTCTGGCCCTTAATTGAACTATACCAGGAGAGAGAGTATCTGTGAAAGAAGACATGATAAGAGTTCCTAAAGTTTATCCGGCGTATGGATAGGCTTTTATTCAAAACATCCTACTTGTGTGGTTAAAACTTCCAGGTGGAGCCACTAAGTAGTTTTCACTAAGTTTTCAGTGAGTGTAACTGGGTATCAAGATAAAGCTGTTAAAGGAAAGAAACAATTGACAAGTTTAAGGTTAAACAAAAATAAAATTAATTTTCAGGTGTCCTCACCTTTCTAGCCCATATCATTTCTAAAAACTTAGTTAAATTTGGTATTTCTTCAAAGACAGTATTTCAGGGTTTGTGTGTTCTGCTGTCTCTGTGACAAAGCAGAATCAGAATGAGAAAGCAAATTGTATTTTTCTTTTTCCCGATGAATTTCTCCCATTATAGACCTGTAAATTGAATGCTAAATGATTATGTAAATGAAGTGGATTGAGTTACATTTTAGCAGCCAGACTGTAAAGAGAAAGCTTCTGTGGGGGAAGTAGGAAAGACATTAGAGAGTCAGAAGTCCAGGGGTTCTCATTGCCATGGTTCTGGCGCCATCATGAACTCAGTGACTTAACCACAGGCAAGTTGTCAGCCTCTCAGAATGGCCGAATCCCTGCTCTGTAAGAGTAGAATTTGTGATTTATAACTTTCTTTTCAATTCTAAACATTTGCTTTAGTATATATTTGTTGATAATGAAAATATATGGTGTATCCTAAAGCATGCTTATATAGATGCATTTAAGATAACCTTTTAACCAAGCAGAGAAACAGAAAGTTGGCTTGATGAGCCTTTGTCATATTTTCAGCCTCACTTCTCCCATGATTCTTGGACATCTTATATATTGCACCAATAGAGCTCCAGTGGCAGTTGATAAAAGGGGACTTTATTGATGTTTGCATTAGAAATGCAAGTTGTAGTTTAATAGTAGTTGTAATAAAAATAGCTAATTTGTTAATGTTTGCTAGGCACCAAGTACTTGACTGATTTCACTCATTAAATCTGCGCAACTCTCAAGAATGAAATCCTGAATATTATCTCCATTTTCCAGACAAGGAATCCAGAATTCAGTGCAAGTAGTGCTCCCCTGCACTTGGGCAACATGGGGATCCTGGAAAAATTGAGGCAAAGAGACGGTGTAATAACATACCCATGGTCACATACTAGTAAGATATGGAGCTACATTTTGAATGTAGACAGTCTTGCTGCCATGCTCCTAACCATTATATTATTCCTTATGAATGCTTGAGGTGTCACTCTTGCTTGTACTATATGGGCTGTACCAGAAGAACATAGATCCTGGTTTCTTGACTTTGGGGAAGTATAATCCATGTAAAGAATAAATATGAACAGAAGTAGTACACTGGATTTTATGCAAAAATCTTCATAGATCATAGGCTGATAACTGGTAGGTATCTAAAAGGCATTGTGGTGTGAGCCGTCATGTCTTTTTTATGTTTCATAACTGCCATTCTAACTGCCTGTACAACCTTATGCCTCATTGTTTTTACTCTTTCAGGTGTTTTCCAGTTTCTTCTTACATACTTTCAGATTAAGATTTCTGGAAGCGCTGACCAGTTGGAAATCATTTCTTCTATTTAAAGACATTCATGCTTGCTTAGGGGCAACTAAACTAGTTTGAGTAATTTTTAGAATGGCCCATTTCAGTTCTTAGACTTCTCATGTGTTATTTAATTACTATACTCCAGACACTTCATAAGAAGCTAATCAATTTGAGCTTTGCAAACAAGAAAATGGCAGCAAAATCCATTTCCCCTTCTATCTGTGGACTGAATGCAGAATGTTAAATACATAGGCATGCTTTCCTTGGGGTGAAAATGGCTTCTGATATCTGCATCACCATATGATTTTTCATTGAACCTGTAATGCTTTTGAGTGAAAGGAAGTTATAAGGATGATAGATATAAATCATTATTGCCCTGGACAAACAGGATAATGCAGTACCCACATAGAGTAAGGATTAGTGCTCAGAGTTGCTATATTTGCTACACCAGGAGAAGCTGGAGTAGTTTGTCATCTGAATAGGAAGAATATAACTGGCAACCATCATGTGTCACGGCTACCAGGCTTCACTCTTCATTATTCTCCTTCTACCTTTCTCTCAGAAGTGGGGGATAGAAGGAGCTTATTTTGATTGTATTTCTTTTTCTAGTTCTAAACTGTAGTTAGGTGAAGCTATGGGAGTTTGTTTTGTTTTTTATAATGCAAAGCAGGCTTATTGGCAGGCACAAAAATGAGTATTAGGACTATAAACAAATAGGAAAGAAAGCAGTCAAGTGGAGATCAGCATTTTTAAGTAGATGACTTTGGGACTTCTATTACAACGGGAAGACTTGCTGAATTGCTTTTATGATTTCACTGATACGTGGTCTAATGAACAAAACAAAATAAAAACAAAGTCATAGATGCAGCAAACTGACGTAACAGCTGTCAGGTGGAGAGCTGGGTGAAAACGCTCAAGGGATTAAAGTAACTACAAAAGGGGAAGGAGGGTGGAGGGAGGTAGAAGAGGGTACAGGAGGGGTAAATAGTTCAGAAAGACTGGATGTTGAACACACAAGACAGTATACAGATGACACTACGGAATTTACAGTTAAAACCTATATAATTTTATTAACCAATGTCACTCCAGTAAGTTTAATGAAAAAAAGTTGTCTCTTGCCCTGGCTGGTGCGGCTCAATGGGTTGAACGCTGGCCTGTGAAGTGAAAGGTCGCCAGTTCAATTCCTGGTCAGGACACATGCCATGGCAGAGTCCCCAGTTGGGGGCAGGTGAGAGGCAACTGATCGATGTTTCTCTCCCTCTCTAAAAAATAATTATAACCTTAAAAAAAAAAGTCTCTCTACCTGATGCTTGAGCAGGCTTTTCAAATAGGCCTTCCCAGCTATAATTCCTTTTGACAGCCAAGATGATATATTTCTGTTTATTCAGAAACTCCCAAGAAATCTAGTTTGGTTTGACTACTCTCAGAAGCCAAGGATTCAGGTCTTACAAGGCATTGCTTAACATGTTATCCAACTGTAGAGTGGACTTTTGTGCTCCTGTGCCATTTCTCCAGTCTTCTATATCGGGCCTCATATTTTCTTTTTTGAAGAGAGACAATCAACAATGTTGTGTTTAAGAAAATTTTCACATGTAGGTAAATAATGAGCTTTTTTTTCCCCCAGTCTCTATAGTTACAAAAAGAAACATACTCCCTCTGCAAGGGTATTCTGGGGTGTAGGGTAAAGTACTATTCGCTGAATGTACCATGAGTATTTTGCATCTGTGTGCAGAATTTCTGTTAAAACTTGATAATGGAATTGCAGCCTATGCTACAATAATAGTAACACTCAAAGAAAAAAGTAAAGAAGATTGGAGTCTCACTTAGAGTATAAATAGGTTTATTTTAAGTAGAATTAACAAGAATCAAAATGGGAATATGATATGAGATTTTGTTACCGAACAAGAGGTCCGAGGGAGGGTCAATACAATATTTGGCCCACCTAGGGATGTCTAAAACTGCTATACAACAGGGGCCCCTCCCAAAAACAAGATACTAATATCTACTGGGCTCTTCTGTCCGCCGCCAATTGGAAAGACATCTCTCAATGCCAGAGATTTGTGAAAAGGAAACAACATGTTTATTTAATGCTATTCAGGCCTAATACCTCCACTAAAATATCAAAGTCCTTTAGGGTATACACCTACACCCACACAGCGCTGCCTTCTCCCACTGTCCCAACTCCGGGTACTGTAAATCAGGAAAAGAGCACACGTCTGTGTTGCAGGCCGCTGGCACCATCAGCTGTGTCACTGTGCAGGCAGGATCTCTCTCTAGTTAATCCAAAGTACTGTGGTACCCTCTCATGGCAAGAGTCCTTTGTACCCAGTTCCAGTCAAAGTCTCTCTTGCTTTTCAGGCCCTGCAGCCAAAGGGGGCACCCCAAAGCCGCGTGGGCCTCTTCTACCAAAGCTGCAGGGTTTCTCACTCCACCAAAAGCATGTGGCTTTCTTCTTTACCTGGCTGCAGGTATCTCCATTCTGGCAAAGCTGCGTGGTTTTTCCCTTTCACCTGGGAAAGGGGGTCCGCACCCTGCCAAAACCACGTGGCTCCCTCTTTCACCTCACCAAGAGGGGGTCCTCACTCTGCTGAAACCGTGTGGCTCTCTCTTCATCTGGCCAAGCGGGGACCCTTCATGTCTCGGAGCCAGTCTTTTCCAAGCTCTCACACAGGCCTTCTCACTCAGGAGTGCAGACCCTAGTTACATCCTGAGTCCCAGCCACTACCTTCTCCCCGGCTCCAAACTTGGCCACAGCTATTTAACATATCTATGAAACCAGTAAAAGGTTATAGATATGTTAAATAACTATTCCAGAGGTTAGCTGCAAAACTGTTGCTATGCAAAACAGCTCTCAATGGCCTTGGCTCTATTCATCCCTTCCCCCTGGAGGGGGGGGCGGCGGTGAGGACATCCTATATGTCTCTCCAATATTCCTATACACTGAATTCTGGATACCATTCCAAATCCCTTTTTTTGCCTGCCCCCTTGGCTGCGCCGTTACAATATCAGCAGCTAATTTTTTGCAGTGTGCCCAAATACAATTGGTGGATTAGCCTCTTTCTGTATATAACTCTGTAAATGAAAAGCATTTCAGAGATTCTTTTGGAGGGGATTCTCATGATCACAAATACGGGTGGGGTTTTTTTAGGTGAAACTTTTAGGCATTTTTTTCTGTAGTGGAAGGGCTTATTATTTTTCTCAAGGTAAATTAGTTCCAAAATTCCCTATCTAAATTCCAAACTCCAAAAATTTTATAATTTATTGGAAGCCATATCTGACTGGTATTGACATAAGGCTATTTGTGGGCTTAATCTCTCTTTAATGTGAATAAGAATATATTTTTCTACAGAAGTATTAATGTATTTGATTCTGTCTCTCTGATTCTATATCTCCAGACCCATTGAATTGTCACAGATTATACAGTACATGCCCATATTACCTTTCAAAAACAGGAAAAATCCTGAATTTCTAACATATCTGCCCCTTATTAGAAAAGGGACTGGAAATACTATGTGTATTTCTAGCCTCTTCACTAGCTCACAGAGGTGTTATGACCCAGATTTAGTCCATATAGGTGATTTCTAAAGCATAATTTTAAGACATGGGTATTCTTCTAATTTTTTTTCTAGTTCAATCACTTGTATTAAAATACATTTTAGCCTGAAGTACCAGTGGTAAATACTTTGAAATGCTGGATTTCATAAAGCCACTAGGTGGCATCTTTGTAAAAATAAAGCCCCTTTTAAAATGTTTTATTGTATAATAAATGCTGAGATAAATAAAGGTAGGTGTTTCATGAAAAATAAAGATAAGTCATTAGGGGCAATAAATTCCCCCGAAGTATAGGTTTATTGTGGAAAGTAAATGGAAAATAGTGTAAAATTATTTTTCTACTTTTAGAATTGAGTCCCATTGCTTATTTTCACTTTGCATTTACATTTATTTTACACAACCAAATAATTACTGTGTGTGTGTGGTTTTGATGTGCTTATAACCTTTCCAACCTGAATAGAATGGAGTTGCCTGGGAAGCCTGCCAATTATGTTAGACTCATGTGGTTGTGTAAGATCATCTCTACAGTAAAATACTAATAGAATATGTACATAAAGTGACTATCCAGTCACATTTAACACTGTGAAGTACTCGATCTTCTCTACTACCAGGTTTTCTTCCCTCCATATCCTACCTCTATGATTAAACCTAGTTTTTTTCTTACACTGAATGATACATTTTAAAGAGGAGAGCCAGAAAGGTGAGTGTTTAGAACCAGTGGAATTCTCATTATTAGTAAAATTAAGATATACTATGATTTTGGAGGTGGAAGTGGGGGAGTATTTGGAAGCACTTGTCTGCACACCTCCAATTACCCTGGTTTACCCATGAAAGACTAACTAGTGGT